TCAGCGCTAATCCAGGGTTATGGGGAATTTTAAACAAAATTCCTTTTCCGAAAACACATAACTGGGCTTACAAAGTATTGATGAACGGGCACGTTTACTTAACCCAAAAATGACCGCTCAGAAGAGTCTATGAGAAATTGAGCTCTGCTCTCTTTTGGAAAAAAAGAAACAACAACAACAACCTAGTAAAATATCTTGATCAATAATTTACCTGTTTCCATCATAATTGCTTACTTACACTGGAATACTTCTCTCAAACAGACGAGTCAAGCATAGGGCAGTGCAACAGCAAAAAAGAAACGTTTCTCGCCACTGTATCTAGAACACGAGATAAAATGGCAAACACAGTTAGCCTCCCACGCAGACGTTCTTAGGGGTTCGTCACTCGTTCCAGGAATGCGTAACGAACCCCTAAGAACGTCTGCGTGAGAGGCTAAAACACAGTGGGTTTGATACTGGCCATGGTCACTCTTTTTAACTTTTATAACCGAGCGGCGGTCACTTTGTCTTCCTATAGTCATGAATGCAAATGTAATTGTGGATCTACCGTCTCTTTCCATACACAGTCAGGACGTTAACATACAGACAGCACTTGACATAAACAGCGTTCATGCCCGAAACTTAGAATTAGCAGTGTATTATATCCAGGGTTTTCTCGGAGCAACACAGGAAGCAATTAAGGGGACTAGCATGAGAAATTAGTACTGACAGTGATTTTATTTAAACCGTGAAATAGGTAGTAGAATTAATACTACCGCACTATTATGCACTATTTCTATTGTCTTCTCTTGTATATCTCTCGCTATTTTGCACTATTATTATATTTGTTAGTATCTGTTTAACTGTTCAAGTAAAATCACTCTTCTATTAGGAAAAAAACTTGGTCTCCCTTCGGTTGAACACGAAGTAGTGGTTTTATGAACTAAAAATTAATGATGTAATAAAGAAAATAAAGGGCTGATGGTTCAGGTAAAAGCAAATGAACGGGTGTTACTGAGGCGTCAAAGTATGATGCGAGTTCTAAAGGTGGTTTAATTTAATTCTGAATTTTAGGCTGCTCCATTTTACACTTAATCTCGCCATAACTTCGATTGGTCTCACCAGGCGTTCGACTGGTCACGGTAAAATGAGCCCATAAATTAAAATTGTTACATGAGAAGGAATTAAATGGAAAGTGGTCGTTTGTCATTTTAACCATGCCTAATAGGAAGTTAGTGTAACGGTCTTCCACTTTACTTAATAGCTGTAAACACTTTGTAAGAACGAATCAAGCAACCCGACAAGTGTAAGTTTTCCGGCTATGCCTTGCTGTCTGCTAGATCTAAAATCGTAAAACACTCGTTTACAAATGCTGATCCACCTCTCCATGAGCTGCCGTAGGAGCACTGTTTGGCGAATGTTAGCTGCATAATAAACACGGGATTTTTGCAATGCCTTGGTAGTTAAAACACTCAGATACAGTCAGCGATCATTGGGACTTGCTGGCTGCCTGAGGTTATACTATTACTGTTCTAGGACCAACTATCTTTCCGTGGTTACCACTTCCCAGCTGGCAACATGGAAGAACTGATTTGTTTTATTTATTTATTTACTCACTTAATCATGTAATTATTTATTTATTCTACACCGACGTCGGGATGGCGGACATGATTTTCAACTTAATTTACTGTTAGTAATAAACGGAATCGTGACACCACCAGGATTCTTGGTCGAGAAAACATCAGACCGGGCTGCTTTACCGAACCTGCTCTGGACTTCCCAATAGAAAAGAAATTAAATTATATCTGGCTTTTATAATTTACTCTTTTATCCATTGACTCTTACGTGTATTAAAAGATGCTTGGGAACAATGTAGTACTGTCCGGAAAGAAGCTCCAACATGGGCATTTGATTTTAAACTTTGACGAGAATATATTTAATTGGAGGTCGCTGAACTAAAAAGGACGTGGGATGAAAGGTTAATTTGATAGGATGGCAACTGAAATTCGACATTTACAATGTTAACGTTTGGTACTCGCTGAGTATTTTGACTATGAAGTACCTTTTTGTGCTTATCTCACTAATGGAAGCTCAAGAGACTAGGGTGGTAATTGAAATTTGACATTTACGAGAATTTTAACGTTTGGTACTCGCTGAGTATTTTGACTATGAAGTACCTTTTTGTGTTAGTCTCACTAATGGAAGCTCGTAGAGAAATTGAAATTCGACGGCGTTTCCATTTCTAAGCTAAAAGGTATTCCGTTCAAGGTAAGTGAAAGTCGTTTGGGCATAATAAGCGGTGCTCGCTAAGTAAATGTTTGACTGTTTCTCACAAATGGAAGCTCAAGAGACTATCCCTTTAAAAACACTCATTAACAGCACGGAATGGAGAGAAAATGTTACGTAACGTTTATCTGTCTTAGTATGTGATGTTGTACCGTATACGACAGGGAATATCTAACAACTTTTCAATAAAGTAATTAAACCGGCTAACACTATATGAATATAGACTATTTCGACGCCCATACTAACTCTTGCAATCGTGGTTCACCGGCGTAGTAAATAAACCCATAAGGATGTTACAAAAACACTCTAAAACTTAATAGACAACATGTTTTCATTGCAAAATTAAATTACTATTACTTTGAAGATGTCCTTGTAATCCTGCGGCACATCTGAAGCCGGTGTTTACCCAGCATTCCCACTCGGAAAGATTTATTACGCCGTTAAACCAAAAGAAAGTTCGGTCACTCTATTTGTTTTGTAAATCCAGCTATTTTGTTCACTGGTCAAGTGGCACAATTGATAGCCTGCGGAAACATCCGTTTCTCCTCGCTCTTTGCCGCGGATGTTTTCGCAGGCTACACAATTGAGAGAGTTTATCTTATAAGCTCATTATACTCATTCTAAGCAGGAAAGGTTGTTAAGGCAACAGTGTGTTGTTTGATCAAGGGGAAAAGTTTTGAAAGCATGCAGTTAATAGATCTCTCAAATCAGTTAAATTTTGGACGCATCTCATTTCAAATAATTGCTGCCATCAATTGTATCACTCTTCAAATTGTCTCGAACGAATAAGTTCGTCTCAAACGTTAGTCGCTATTAAATATACGACGTGCGTGTGTTGACTGCAAGACAGCTTGCTATTTCCAGTTAAGACTTAACCAGTAAGTCCAGATAGAATAAATAACATACTTTACTGAAAACACAGATCGAAAACATCTTCAAGGTGAGTAATTATAGCAAAGCATTCCCAGTTTCAATGTACATCATAATGCATGTTGCTGAAATGAAGGGACGCCTTTCGCCATCGAAAACGAAATGATTTCTGTATGGAGATCTCGCTGCACTTCGGCAAAAACTTTGATTTTATATCTGAGAATAGACGAGTTAGTACACTGAAATTAATGAAGGATTTTGCAGTTTTCATTTCGTAAGCTGATAACGTCGGTTATCCTGGCTTTCTTCCTTATTATGTTTGCTTTTTTTTTAATTAAAAACAAATTTTAAAAAATAATGTCGTTCTGCAGTGACACCTTAAACACTCGAGACCACTTCCCTGGTACAACGATTCTTGTACCAAGTGTTCAGTTTTTTACATGCACTTTTTATTGGCAGTTAAATTCACGTCACCAAAGGGGTACGTCTTGTACGTTTCCGAGCAAAAGCCTGACAAACGGGGAATAAACTCCGACTTTACAACGCAAATAAATCAGCAAATAATTATGAAAATGTAATTGTAGTCGATGAAATACTCTGGGGTATTCACCTTCACCTTCAGTATTCACCTTATTTTAATGTATTGTACGATAATAATTAATTTTACTTAGTATTGTAATTGTATTGTATTGTATTGTAATTGTAATTATTCACTTTGTATTTAGTATTCAGCTTATTTTAATTTATTGTGCGATAATAAATAATTCTATTTAGTATTGTTATTGTAATTATTCTACTTAGTGTCAAGCCACTGCTCGCCTCGAATAGCTATAGCTAACTGCGAGCAGTGGTACATCATATTTTGTATTTTCTCAATTTTTCTTAATAAACTTGAAACTTGAAACTTGAAAACTTGAAACTTGGGGTATAGACTTGCCTGAAGCCGTTCTAAACATTTACAGCAGGTGTTCCCCTCACGAAGATTTTATAAATGATTACGTAACAAATTTTTAATGTGGCTTAATTGTAATTTAGAAAAAGTTAACCTCAAGACATCATCGGGGTGCCCGCCGGGTCTGCAGGGGCAAGGTAGCCGAAGCTCCGCTTAGATACAGCACGAACAAGCACCATGTTGAACAGTGATCAAGCATAGTTTGTTCCGAGCAGGGACATGAGGAATTGTACATGGCAACATGCACAGACGCACGGAATATTTCGCGGTAGGCTTACATGATGAACTAGCCCAGCCTTGCCTCCTTCGCTTTGCTGGTCTTTGCGAATCATTGTGAATTCACGACGCTGGTTTCTTCTTGTACCGTCACACTAAAAATTTTCAGTGGAATACTTACCACAAACCATACCTACCTATCCTAGGGCGGGAGAAGTGGGATAAGATTGCAGCTCGGCTTCCTGGCTCTTATTTTTGCATGCCGGGTGAAACGGAGGGAAAAATTAGAACTCGTGCAACTGCAACAAAATGTCATTCAAGGAGGCAGACCTGAAAATTTCAGCTCGGATTGATATCCACCATTGAGTCGGCCTCTTAAAAAATTAAATTAAAATTTAATACGCAAAATGTCCGATTACATGCACAAATTTAATCAATAGATTTGTATTGTCGGGCTCCAACTTTGAACAGGGACGCCGATCACAAGCTATCCGCGATCTTCACGTGCGGTTTGTCAAGTGATTCAGGGTATAAGTCACGTGACAAAACGTAAAACTCCATCACTGTTTCGAATCGAAAGCTTGTGTATGCTTGTAACATTCTCTATAAGGCTGGAATTTAAAACCTCGTTTACTTTTTTCTCCATAATTAAACATGATATCTACTCTTATCTCAACATTATCTTTTACTTTAGGCAATGTCATATCAGGACAACTATACTTCACACTTAACAGGAACACTTCCTTATCAACGATGCCTCATTCCTGGCCTTCCAGAAGATACGCAGCACACAATATATGATGTAACAAACTTTATTTTCGTTCCTATAGTTATGCTCTTGGCTTTTCTTTCATTCACAAGTAACTTCCTTGTAATGGCGGCTCTGATACGAGTAAAATCTCTCCGGCATCCTTCACTATTGCTACTGGGCAGTCTCTCAATAACCGACATATTGTTTGCAGTGTATGCCTTTGTTGAGGGTCTTGCAAGATACATGTACGAAGCTTTTTGCCCCGAGGAAAATGGCGATTTGGAACGTGGATTTGTTGTTCTGTGTAACATTTCAACCATGGGTAACCTGGCGTTCATCAGTAAAGACCGGCATTTAGCAGTAAGCAAGCCTTGGTGGTACCGTGCTCATGTGAAGCGATCAAGCGTTCTTAAACAATCGTCAGCTATCTGGTTTTATAGCTTCTTTACGTCAGGAATGATTTTTGCGTCATCGTATTTTTCAATCATTCATTTTCCAGTCCTTTCTTTAATTAGCCTGTCCTACATAATATCTATAGTCATTATGATTACTTCTTATGTTGGAATATTCATCGCAAACAAACGCCACAGGCGCACCATGCAGCAGCACAGGGGCCAGGTGTCTGCCATCTTAGAGCAAGAGAAGAAATTGGCCAACACTGTAGGTTTGATCGTAATAACACTCTTTTTAACTGTCTTACCGGGACTTATTCTACCTGTAGTTCTAAAACTTCTGGGATTTTCACCCACTGAAAATATCCCTTTTGGTCCATTTTTTAGTTTTTTACTGACTCTAAATGGATTTTTGAATCCGTTGTTAAACTATGGCAGAAATGAAGGTGTACGCAGAGCAGTGCGAGGCTTAGTCGGATGCTCCTGCATTGTAACTCATAGAGTTCAACCTTCCACCAATAATGGNTGTTGGAATATTCATCGCAAACAAACGCCACAGGCGCACCATGCAGCAGCACAGGGGCCAGGTGTCTGCCATCTTAGAGCAAGAGAAGAAATTGGCCAACACTGTAGGTTTGATCGTAATAACACTCTTTTTAACTGTCTTACCGGGACTTATTCTACCTGTAGTTCTAAAACTTCTGGGATTTTCACCCACTGAAAATATCCCTTTTGGTCCATTTTTTAGTTTTTTACTGACTCTAAATGGATTTTTGAATCCGTTGTTAAACTATGGCAGAAATGAAGGTGTACGCAGAGCAGTGCGAGGCTTAGTCGGATGCTCCTGCATTGTAACTCATAGAGTTCAACCTTCCACCAATAATGGCCGCAATCAGGGAAGTGGGACAGTTAATCCTACTTCCAATATTGCGCAGAATGCTACTAATATGCAAGAGTTAGTTGGGCAGCCTTTGTCCCAAATTCAGGGTTAGGAATTATCCTTATGTGGGACCAGGCGCTCAGCGTTTCTCGAAAGTCTTTTAAGATTAGCTTTTTGTATTTTCAAAATAAATTAATGGAATTTTAAGGGCTATACGCCAAAAAAGATAAATGTGAACTTAAAAGTCCTTCAAAAATTTCTAAAAGCTTCTAAGCCAAAAAGGCGATAATGATACACCATAATAAACTTGAACTTTAATGTAGTGACTGTCAAGCACAGATCCATAGACACATTTCGCGATCCCTTGCTCCATACAATCGCTACATATGAGACTTACTAAAACAAAATAGTCACCCAGTTACTATAAAATTAATAAACGGTAATCCCAATAGTTTTGTGTTATGAACTTTACGTATTATAGAGAATCCTACTTATTTATTGTTTAGTTTCAAGTCAAATTGATTTCGCGCTAGTTTACATTGTAAAAAAAACTTCACAACATATAAATTTTTCACTTAAATCGACTGAATTGTATAATTTATCATAGGCCTCGTGACACGACAATATTTAATGTACACTGAGTCTTCGTGATTTGTTCACGAACTAAATTTTCAAAAACGCACATTTCAAGCTTCTTTCTACGATTAATTGCATCGGGTTTTCTACTAGCCTCCGAAAACATCCGTTTCTCCTCGCTCTTTGTCGCTGGGGACGTTTCGCGCGGAGGAACGTCGTTCGTCCACGCGAAACGTCCCCAGCGACGAAGAGCGAGGAGAAACGGATGCTTTCGCAGGCTAGTTTTCTACACCCAATACCATACCGTCATCGATCGTTTGTTTCTATTCCGATAACAAACTGACTTATACGAGAGAAGCTTGAAAGACCTTCGTCACCTAAAGAAGTAACTATACCATTTTTTTGGCGGTAAAAGAGCAAGGTTTCAAGCTTTGAAGCTTCAAGCTTTGAAGATCAGTGAACACCTCAAAATGTAGTGCCGTGGGTTAGGGTAACTGACTAAGACCCGGTTCAGACGCCAGTCTTTTCATGAGCCGAACCCTGAGCCGAACCTAAGACATTGAATTAAGTACATGAAAAGTTCAGCGTCTGAATCAATTAGGAACGCCTATTTCAATTTGGAACGGCTCAGCCGTTCTTCACGCAGACTAGCCCGGCCGGGAATTTCGACCGTGGAACGACTTTGGAACGGCTTTGATTCAGACACAAAACTTTTCATCTACCAAACCTAATGCATAAATCATAATAACGTATTTTGCAAGCAGTTTGACCAAAATGAGCATTTTTCTTCTTTTGAATTTATTTCGGCTGGAATTAAGATCGGCGTCTGAATCAACTCAGGCGGTTTAAATAGTTTCATGAAAAGTCTGGCTTCTGAATCGGGCCTAAAAATCACGTCTTTCTAGGCCTGAATACAGCTACAAAAATAATAGTTAAATAAAAGCGGGCATAAACAGTCTAAACATGCACGGGGACCTGATTCTCAGCCTTTTCTTGCCAAAGCTCGCTTCGCGTGTTCCTCAAAAGAACTTGTCACTAAAATAATTAGGCCCAGTTCAGACGCCGTACTTTTCATGAGCCGAACCTAACTCGAATTAAGACCGACCCAAATTATTTGGACCGGCTGAATTGATTCAGACGTCGATCTTAATTCCAGCCGAACTAATTTCAGAAGGAGAAAAATGCCCATTGCGATCAAACTGTTTAGAAAATACGTTATTATAATTTATGCATTGGGTTAGGTACATGAAAAGTTCGGCGTCTGAATCAAAGCCGTTCCAAAGTCGCTCCAAAGACGAAATTCCCGGCCAGGCTAGGCGAAAAGAACGGCTGAGCTGTTCCAAATTGAAACAGGCGTTCCTAATTGATTCAGATGCCGAACTTTTTATGTACTTAATTTAATGTATTAGGTTCGGCTTATGAAAAGTTCGGCTTCTGAACCCGTGCCTAACGCAATTAAGTTTACCGGCCATAACAAATTAAACACAAGAGACATGATTTTTGCAAGTTATATCGCCATAACAACGATAAAATTAATTCATCTTACCTATCTTTAACTATCTTCGTCGAAGTCTCCAAAATCACATATTTCCAGCTAAAAGAATAAGACGGCTGCTCTAGTCTGGAGACAGGTCTTGTGTTCGTCAAAGTGTACTTGTTTACCGGAATAATGATATAAACAATTTATTAACTAAAACATTGTAGCTAAAAATACCCTTTTTGTTTAATTATAACTCTTACTATGATTAATTTTCGCTAGAGAAGCCACAAAAGGATTTTCTCTCTGTGTGAGGCTTTCCTAACCAGAGTAATTGCGGGCCTGAATTGACTTCCCACCGGACACAAGAAAAGTTTTTAACTCACCTACTGTTAATATAATAAAAGTACATGAAAAATTATGTCGTTGTTAAACTCTCGTCATCAAAACAGTTCAATAAAACATTTAGCACAGGTTACCAAGATTGTTAATCAATATGTTTTGTCAAGCTTTGACAACTTTGGACGGATGCTACCGTGGCTCTCATCCAGTATAATATATATATTTAGCCAAGGCTAAAAGCGAAGCTCCCATTAGTAAATTTATAATTTAAATCAAACAATAAACTTGTAATCCACAAATCGGTTAACTTAAGGGCCCATTCATGTGACTTTTGAGGGAAAGGCGAAGTTATTTTAGAGTGAAACATCTTACATCGAGTTGATAGCCTTATATGTACACCCAAAAAATAGCAAACATGTTCGATCACATTCAAGAGCCATAATGGCTCTTGATCACAGTAGATTAGGCCTCAAAAACAAATTCTTGGAAAACAAATCAGGCCGAATTTTTTTTGCGTTCGACAGGTTTACTTTACAAATTCTTGCCAACAAATCTAGGGGTGTGTAAACCAACCTTTCATACTCTTTTAATATACATCACATCTGAGGTGAAACAATTCTATTTATCATACGAACCTCGGACAGAATGCGGCATTTCACAATTTTTCAAGACAAATTACACTTAGTCAATATTCAGGACGATCAATCGTGGGCTTTTAGCGAAACCGTTCAAAAAAATTCCAAAATCACCCATACGGCCAGCCGGTTCTCATTTCTAGTGCGAGCTGTCAGTGTGGTCGAGAGTTTGAATGAACTTTAATAGAGTTACTCTTCAACATAATAACGAATTTATTATTATTATTTTTTGTTATTTAATGGTTTCAGTTATAACGATGTGTAATCTTATAAAGCGTTTGATACGCGCGACATTTTTTAGTACTCCTGCAAGCGATGTTCATGAACGATGAAAACAACCGGCACGTACAAGCGATTAAAATTGCAAGAGAGACTACTAACAATCAATAAAAGAAATATAATTCGGTGAAACATTTACAGAGGCAACAATTTTCATTCACGAAGACAAGTATTAAAGTGTCTCTAAAAATCCTGAGTCTTTAAGCGTAAAGCTTAAGCCGGCTTCCCGGTGCGGTGTTTACTGTTTTCGAAGGTGAACTCCTCGAAGCAAGAAAATCGCTCAAAGTTTTCTTTCTACAGCCAAATTTATAACTAAATATTCTTCGGATCGTTTTCTTTCTATTTGCGGTGAGAAAAGATATTGTGAAGGCCTTTTAAAGTCCTGTAAGCTTATATCAAACCTGACGCTATGTCAGATCATTGACTCAAATCTTACAAACGTGCATAAACTTGCCGCATAAACTGTGCTCGACTTCATGAAATTAGATTTAACAAAAACAAACATCAAACACAATAATTACTCAGGCTTACCATTCGAGATTCAGTTCCTGAAAGCTATCAAGGAAGGCCACAGTTGGTTGAGACTTTTAAACCCTCTTACGCATTAAGCAAGGTAAAAAACAAAAACGATGCCATCCGAAATCGGATTACCGAATTTTGACAAGCGACGCATTTCTCAACCAAAAACCCAATAAACAAACCAGCCATGAATAACAGAAGACTCTTGATAGAAGCTGTATTTCATTTTGTACATCCGGTCTAAAAAGGCAGTTAAAAACATCACAAGTTGACACAAAACTCTGTCAGCTTCAGCTGTCAAAGTAAACAACTTTCAAGATGCTGCATAAATTTTCCGCACGAACTCACCTGTCAAATTTTGACCAATCAGAGCATGAAAATTGGACGTAGAGCGTGACCAACGCGTGACCATGGTAAGAAAAGGTCTTCTCCGCCTGTATTTTTAAAAAACCTGGCTGAATTTTCGCGTCCGAGGTCAGTTTGAAATCAAAATCTTAATAGTGCGGGGCCATAATGACATAAACACAACAAATTTCATGTGAATCACTGGAAAAAATAAACTTAAGCCAGCGATCATTTGAAGCTGGTAATTTGTCAACGGATAACTGCAAAAAAAGACTCGACCTCGATGGGTCGACACTTGAGCCCGCGGTACGGTCAGGTGATACTGGTCAGCGGATACCCTGTTTTGACAGCTGTCAATTGATCACAACATTGATGTGCAATTAGTTTTTTCCTGGGCTCCCAAACTCGCTAGAAAGTGTGATAGTAAACATTGGTTGCCCTGTGGTGCGGACGGACGGTCATTCGATCGTTCGGTGTACGGTCACGTGATTACCAAATTTTCTTGAATGGGTAGATCCCTTAGCTATGGGGCTCCGCCCACGCGCGCGCTTCGCGCGCGCGTGGAGCTCCGCTATCATTAATTGCTACTTGATGTAGCTCTTATTTTAGGAATCCTTGCATTCTTACTGTAACAACAGAAATTATGTCTAATTATCTTTCATGACTGGACCCCTCACAGTGCAATGAACTCTACCGAGGCCTTCCAACATTCTGTAACATTTATTCATTGGCCAATGACATCAGTGTCACGTTCTTAACAGGTGACTTACCCTCTGGGTGATTGTCAACTACACAACCTAAAAACTAACTAGAAAATTCCCCCTGTAAATTTCAAGTGTCTTTGGCCCTGGTTGAGTTTTCTGCACTGAAAGAGCCAATTTTTGCAATTTCAATTTG